AAATGAAAGTCACATGCAAGTTAAAGGCAAGAAAGATCTGTCAATACAGTGCACTATATTATGTTTATTGTATACAGCAACCATATCCCCTCATGTTCTTCTGCTTCTTCCTTCTTTCCTCCCATTTCTTATTTGGGTCGCTTTAGGGCTAAGTATATTTCAGAGAAGAAAAAAAATGATGGTATCATTTATTTTATAAAATGAAAGGATCATTACACAAAACATACCTATTTCAGAATTACAATCTCTGTGCCTTCAGCTTCCCAGAAGTATGCCACAAAGTGTGAATGTTAGCAGCTGTGCAATCCAACTAGGACATATCTTTCCATTGCTTTGCAGTATATGCATCTTCTAACTCTTATGGAATACAGGCAAATAAAATGAACTCTTGTGGGTGTTTTTTTTCTTTTTTTAATTTCACGTAGCTGTAGCTTGCATTTTTCTGCATAGGTTTATTTGGCCACTTTTTAGGTTTTTGCATTTATTTTCTTATCTGGGTAGGGCTCACTGTTGAGAGGATGTGTCAGAAAAAAGAAATACAATAAACATTTGTATTAATTACTTCACTTCCTCCTACTCCCCACCCCTGTTCCATATGTTTCCTTAGTGCCTCTCTTAATTGCTTTCTTTAAGCTCAAAACTGTGTCTTTCATCAAAGATCTCAAAGAATGTTGCAAAGCTGAGAACGACCCTTTTCTTTTCTTCCCACCTCACTCTTTTACATGTGCAAATATATTTGAAAGGAGAGAGGGAAGGGCATTGGAATCACTCCGATGGTTCCTTACTCAACCTGTTTACCAAAATTAACCGTTAGTCTCCATTTTCTATTCTGGCCTACGTATCATCTCTCACCCCACCCTTATCCCTTGAACTATCTTCCATTTCTTGCTCACCAAGTAAACTCCCTCAGTTCCTTCTTTAAAATGCTGTTCTTTTGTGCAGGCTTCTAACATTCATCTCCCCTCTGACCCTTTGAAAAGCTATCTGGAGTATCATATATTCTAGTTAGATTTCAACTTCTGGGAGGTGGGGTAGGAACTTTTTCATGTGTTTGTAAAGCACTGTGAACTTTTTTGCTTGATCATCTATGAATGAGAAAAAGATGAGATGACTTTACATCCTTGGAAAAGGAGGGGGGGAACACCCAAGTTATTAGACAATGTTACGATTACCAGATAGCAACTGTGAAAAAACGGGACAGGGGGTAATAGGTGCATATATAAGAAAAAGTCCCAAAGAACTGGACTGTCCCTTTAAAAACGGGACATCTGGCCACCCTAGACAACGTTTAGCTCAGCGTGGGGAATCATACTCCCTGAGACTACCATTTAGTGAAAGCAGAGTGGCTTCAAGGTTCCATTGAGATAGGGTCTTCATTCTTATAGGCAATAATGTACTAGTATTTGCTTCTGAGACTCCAAGTTAGTTACAGAATACAAATATGATACAAGTTTTGTCACCTTGCATCATTGCGTAACATTTTTGTCTGTATGCATATTTTCTAGAGGCACATGGCACTTCTGAAGGCTTCTCTCAGATTCAGCAGTGATAAAGGCACGAATGAGACATTTTGGGGTTCACCCAGGCCAGTAAGAGGTTCGGTCACCATCTGCCAGGGTGTCTTGTGACTGTACAGCTCTGACCCCAACAGCCTGCTAGCATGTCACAAGCATCACCCTGGGTTTGCCCAACCTGGTTACTCCTTGCAGGATGACCTTAAAACACTTCTTGCCCCGAATTCACCTCAAAAACATGCTACTTGCAGGGATCAGTCCCTCTCACTTCAGAGGAAGTGTTAGGTTCACTGCCTTTGCAGAGACAGTAAAACAGTGTAATCTGTTTGCTTTTTAGAAGCACACACTTTACTGAACTTACACAGCAGTGAAGATTTATAATGAAAGTAAAAAAAGTTTCTTAACAAAAGAACATGGATTAAGTGATACCAAGTAGAAGGGATAAAGGTAGAAATGGCTAAAGCAAATAAAAGTGAAAACATATCTCAAAGACTAAAACTTAATCTGCAACATACTGTCTTTTGTTCAATATGGTTCCTCTCACCTATAGTCTCCTTTTCAGCGTTCACTGAGCAGCCTGGCCAGGACCCATCACAGAGATCAACTCACTTGGTTCCTTTGTCTCCTAAGGTTAAGGATAAAGATGGAGTCTCTTTCTGTTCCTTATTATCCCCCACGGGATGTCTGTCTTACAAGTCAAGAAGGCCTCCTCGGTATTCAATCTCCTGTGGGTCTATGGGGAGCAGGGGTCCTGTTAAATCATTCTCTCTCTCTCTCATATTCAGGATAACGTCTGCCAGTTTAGCTCGATGGCTTTGTTGACGACTAATATGGAAGTGAGGTAAACCCACATTCCTTTGTCTAGGACCTCTTTATCACCTTTACCTAGACTAGGCTGTCTAGTCTTAAATATGTCCTAGTAACATCATACAGAGGGAATTCATAACTTCACATGTGTTAACACATGCATTTTACAATAATATTAACAATCAGCATGTTATTAGCTTTCATATGGTACCTCACAAGGCATATTTTGTACAAATACGATTGCAATGGTGCGTGTAGTGTGTGAATACAGGGGTGCCTAGGGTCACTGTGAGTAAACCAGTATAACTACAAAATGATTTTAGAAGTTAAAAGTTGATAGCCATCTTTTTAAATTTCAGGTAACTTCATCTCCTGTCTCACTCCAGACTATCACTAGGTTATGCGAAATTGTGAACCACAACGTAATGTCATCTATTTAGGGATATTTTCACCTCAGGATTTTTTTAAATGACTTGGTTAACATAAAACTGGAATAAGATTCTTCCTTTCCATTTACCACCTACAGCTTTCATTTTACCTACAACAATCAATGTAAATAATTTAAAAACAAATCAACACCCCACAATACCTTTCGGTGGACAACTTACCTTCCCTCTCCTCCCCCCCCCCAACGATCATTATTAGCCCTCAATTTAGAAAAAAAGTATTTCTGCTTTGTGATACTTCCATTGCCATTATAACTTCCACATCATGGTGGTATAATGTTGAAGCTGGATGTGTTGAATACAGTGATCTCCATGCCTTGAATAGGAGGAGTAGTCAGGCTAGGATACTACATCCGCATGCCCATTGTGTAATATGTATTTACACTGGCTTATGATGATGATGATGCATGTGTTAAACCATGATTACAACACAGAATAATACAGGTTTACAGTCAATTTAGTGCATGACAGAAAAGTTCCAAAAAGCTGCATGAACATTCTAGAGTACATAAGTGAATAAGATATTGAAAATATTTTACAGTGTAGTATAATGGAACATGGATATCTGGTGACAAAAACAAACTGGCCATTGCTATATTGTTTAATAAGTCTTTATAGTGTGTGGGGAGGGGGCAAAGTAATTTTTTCCTGTATTATGACAGTACAAATATTCAATTATGCACCCCCCCACACTATTAATTGTGAATAAGACCTTGTATAAAATATATAAGAAATGTTAAATAAAAAATCCATAGAGTCAAGACTTAAGTAATTCAGTGATATTGTAAGCCTCTATCATATTAGCTGGTGATGATTTTTCACATATATTTTATGTTGCAATTTTCGAAATATCCGTCAAACATCTGCAAATACATTATATACTTTAAAAATGTTTTGAAGGCTTCAGCTAACTGTTTTGAAGAACCAAGCCAGTTCATATTTAAACCACATTTGTAAACAGTGTACTTTATGTTGGACTAAGCTACAAAAAAACCCAGTTTTCATATAAAAATATGCTTGTGTTCTAGGAGTTAAAGCCATACAAACTACTTTCCTGACAAAATTTAAAAATTGCATAACAAACGTGTGTAGGAGAAGCATCTGTGCAGGTCTACAGTCTCATAGTGTACTGAAAAGGTTTTATTGTTTATAGGACATGTTCAAAAGGGTGTATAATTCATTATACATGGGTAGTCATCCATACATGGTTTTTACATTTTGCCTGTAGGTAGGCTGAGCACCTGGTGATATGGCTGTATATTTAAACCATTTCTTACCAAATGTTCATTGGATCACACAGATTTTAACATTTGCAGACCAAGGGGATCGTTAATGCACAGTCATATGGGTAGCACCAAACCACAAAATAAAAACTTTCATTTCCCCTCCTAACCAAGGTAAGAGTGAAGATGAAGATGTGGGTAATCTACTTCACATGGGGGAATGAGTACTGTAGTGGGTTACAAATGCTCTAAAAGCCAAGCTTTTCCAATAACTGTACAAATTTGCCTTAGAACCTTTTATCTTTTTTTCTTAAATCTTCAGTTTTTCCTGAGATTTGGTCATCTTGTTTAACAGCAGTTACATTTTGGCCAGGACACACGTTCTATGGCAATCAGGTATGGGAAGGGGATAGTAATATTTACAGCAAGCTGTTCAGCACACTTGTAAAAGTTAATGTGAAAGCAAAGTACCGGTACTGTGCAGCAAACCTCAAGGGAGGAAAGGCTAAACAAAGAAAGTACACTGTGTACAAAGGAATATGGTCTAATTAGACATGAATTCCAACTACCGAGCTAGGTGAACTAGAATTCTGGCTACTGTGCAGTACCTGAGCTCTCTACCACTGTGTAAGCATGACTCAGCCCGTGCTCAGATCATCCTTAATGCCTGGTATGCTTATTTATGTTAAAGTTCAAATGCTATTTTAAGTCTTTAGTTTTTGGAGGTAGAGGGTTACAAGCAAAGTGGGGGGGGGGTGAGGGAGGGGATAGAAGAGAAGAGAAACAAGGAGAGGGGAGGTTAAAACACACCAAAATACCTGGATCAATCCTTCCTGCTCCCCAGCTGCTCTCTCTGGAATAGCTTGTGCTCCTATGCCCACTTCACTAAGGGGATTCCTCCACAAGCACAAATTAATAATTCATTCATAGGCTCCAGTCCCTTAGCCTGCATTGATTTACTTATGCTGCATTTCCTTTCATTCATAAGCCTTTCCCCGTCCTGATCTCTCGGAGAGCGACTCGCTGCAGCGCTCAGCCAGGGAGGACGCTGCAAACGTGCCTTCGTGCCCAAGGACATGCACCATACGACTCAGTTCAGGGTGCGAACCTGACCTAAGCCCGGAATCCGCCGCTCCTGCGTCTCAACATGCCCCTTCGCCACGGATCCGCTCTGTCGTCTTTTCATCCCGTCCTCTTCCCCCTCGCGGCGACTCTGCGGCCGGGATGCTCAGCTGGTTTCGGCGCGAGGGGCTGAGCTCCAGCCATCCGTCTCCTCTGTAGGGCTGGGTGACAGCTGCTTGTCCTGCAGCAGTGCACGGTCTGACTTGGCCAGGGCTCCGGGGGGTGTACGCAGCCCCCCTCGCGCTCCTGCCAGCCCTGCTGAGCCCTTCCCAGCTCAGCCCCTAGGGCAATGTGCACTGCTCCCTTCAGCTTCCCCCCGGGAAGGGCTGAGTCGCACTCTGAGCTCCTCCAGACTTTGCCAGACCCTGGCCCTTGGCCCTTGGCCCCTCTCCTGTGCCTGCTTTGCGCTCTCTGCGCTATCCCACTAAAAGGCTGCTCCACTGAACCAGTGCATTGGCTGACTTGATCTGGGATGAAGGCTGGAGCTTCCCGGCGAGGGAAAGGAGACCTGTAGGCAGCTTTCCATTCGTAAAGTGAGCAGTAATTGCAAGGAGGCAGCCTCCCCGCTTGGAATCAATAGAGGCTGCTTGCTCGCCGCGAAGGGCACTTTGGAGCAGCAGCAGGGCACTGAAGTAACTCCAGCACACTGCTGACTGCGGAGTTGTAAAGAACTACATGCAAAGTGGCTGCAGCAGGGCTGGAAAACGCTTCGCTGTTACCAAGGACACAATAGTTTTTTCAAGTCATTAGAGCTTTTTTCTCTGGTCCTCTCCTTCCATTATCCAGAGAGGGCCATTCCTGGGAGGGATGAGGATGGAGCTGTGATTTTTTTTTTCTTCCCCAGCGCTGCTTTGGTGGGGGGTGGGGGAGAGAGGCTTTAGCAAGCAGCTCTGCTGCTGAGATCAGCTCTGCTTGAATTTCCCCAAGTCTTCTCAGCCTCGGAGAGAAACCATGATTTTGAACCTACTCCGGGCTTTTTGGGGGGTCTTCTTTATTTTCTGGACAGCTTTTAACACAGCCCTAGTGGATGTGGTCGGATCGGAGCAGCAGATCCCCTTGTCGGTGTAAGTGTTTTCATGTTTTTGCTCTCCGACCACGCTCCAGGGGTGAAAACTTGGAACCCCGGTGCCCAAGTTTTTGTTGTTGTTGTTGTTCGTTGCAGATGTTTGACTGTTCAGAGCATTTTATTCCCTTGCCGGTTCTGTTTTGAAGTCCAGTGCCAATGATGCTTGGATTTTATTTTAGGGGTGGGTGGTAAACTGGTAGAAGAAACTAAAGTTAAAAGCCTTTCTGTGTTGGAGGTGATGCATTTACTCACTCTAAATATGCTGATTTCTCAGCTTCCAATGCTATCCCGCTATTTCATCTTCCTTCTTGCAGCCAGTTAGTATGTTAGAGATTATGCAAAAACCTGTCTCTTTACAAATTAGTTTATTTATTTTTAAGTGCAGTTTAAGCAGCTTGAAATCCAAAGCCTTACCTTGGTCTATGATGTGAACTACATGTATCTTGGGGCTTGCACTTGTGAATAGCTCCTCTGTTCTTTTGATCTGATGTTATTTCCTAACAGTGCTTTTTAAGGCAACATTGCTTAGGTTCTTCAGAGTGCAGTTGAGGCTGTAGCTGTGTGTGTGTTGCCTACTGTAACATGTGTATTACATTTCTTCCTGTCTTTTTTCCCCTGCTCCCCACAGTGTAAAGCTCTGGGCCTCAGCTTTTGGTGGGGAGATCAAATCCATCGCAGCTAAATACTCAGGTTCCCAGCTTCTGCAGAAGGTAAGGATCTCTCCAGTTGTAGTAAGCAATGGTTTTAAGCACAGAAAATGGAGTCAGATTTAGTTTTCTAAACAAGCGGGAGAGCAGCACATCCTTTGGTCAGAGGGCTTTTTTTGCTTTGCATACAGTTCCTAGGCCCTGTTATCTCCTTGCACTGCACTGGCTAGAGACTTCCTGATTATCTGGTGATTTTTAATGGATTTCAGTTCCAAACCAAAATTACTTACTTGTGAAGTGCACAGTGAAGCCTAGAACATAGCTATTTTGTCTTCTTGTTACTATGTGATGATGTTATTTCAGCATGGAAACAGCTGCTTCTCTGTGAAAAATGTTAACTTCATTCAAGGAGCAGAATTAGTGCATATTTTATCATTCTTTGCATCTTGTGTTGTAAGCATGCAGTCCACTGTATTAGGGAAAGAAGACTACCATTGTTTATCATCTCTGCTGTTTTTGCAATCCCATTATTTCCCAATCATCTCTACCCAGTGCTGGGATGTATTACATCATTACAGATAAGGGGAATGAATGTGGTTATCTTCTTGCTCAGCTGCACAGCTGGGTAATAACCTAGTGAAGTAATGCAAAAACTTGAGAAATTGGTTTATGTCTACATAATTCTGAAGAGTAATGAGAACACAGAATTGATTATAAGACTTTAATATAAAGTTGCACAGTTAAATTAAAATAGATGCATCTTCTGATAAAAGTTCCATATTGAGATAACTTGTTTTTATAGTGGTTGATTAATTAAAAATTATGAGAGAGGTTAAAAGACTTCAGTATTGCAGTTGTGCAGCATTTAATATATGATCCTCAAAGCATGATATTGGAATCCAATAATTTCCAGTATATGAATGCCAATGATTCAGTTTATCAGGAAACTTTTTCCAAACAGGACTTTAGTCCAAGGTAACAAGTTTTGCATGCTGTGTGGTAATTGTTTATGGCACATATTTTGAAAGTATTTATATCCTTTGGAAGTTATGCAACAGACAGTATGTATTACATTGGCAATTCAAAAAGTTTATGCTAAAAATTAAAATTGCAGCAATATCTTACTGATTATTAAGGATATATAAGAGTACTTACTGTATAAGGAATTGATGCTTTCAGTATTGTGGTTCCCAGTATTGCAAAAATTGAGTTTCATTAAGTTAAAATATATAGCTCTTAAGAGCAAAAGTATTTGGCGTCTTAGTGCTTCTCAAGGCCATTACATTGTCTGAATGTAGCATTTTCGGTATACAGTTATTTTAATCTAACCTTTGAGACACTCTGCATTCATTGTAGTCCTACTTAATATTTTATACTTACTTTAAACACTTCTTTGTATAGTTTGTGCCATCATGCTTCCTGCATAAACAGTTTTGTAATCAGAAAACACAATAACGTTACCTTTTTGAACTGCTGACCAATATCTAATCAAAACATATTTTATGTTTTGGAAATTATCTAATATTGTTCGAATATGTTAATTTTTAATCGAGCATTGCCAGATATGTCATTTTAGTTAATATGGTCTTATTTAACTTTGTCCACTAGTGTAAACCTTTGTGCGCATACACAACATGATTTTAAAAGTTTATCTACTGAAGATAAACTGTCCAATGTTTGATTGCAAAATTCAGAACACATTTTGATTCTCAAAGCTAAGACCATAGAATCAGTATAGATTCTTAATCATTCTTCTCTTCTTCACTTAGATACTGATATGACCACTTCTGTAATAATGTATTTTCCTTTGTTTCCCCCCCCTAAAGTAGTAAGATTTCTTTCTGTTGGTTGTTATGCTGTAGGTGACTGGAAGCTACCTCAATGCTCATTTTACCTTTGCATCAGCATCCTTTCTAATTCACCAGCAAATCTGTTTCTATTGTTTTTACAGCTTGACCATTGTGGGTTTATTCCTTGATATTTGTTTTTAATTTCTTGCCTCTTTGCCTTTATTCTGGTATTTCATAATATGATAGGTATTTAGGGCTGTATTGCAGACAGTAGGATTTTCTTTCCCTCCAGCATCTTGATGGCCATAATTGCTTTTTAATTTTATTTTAAATTCCATTTGGGACCTGTTCGCTAAAACTTTGCATTTCTCTGCATTGATGGTAGTGGATGAGCCTGGATGGTAGAATGCTTTTACAAATATTCTTCTGTAAAGTTTTATACTTCAGCTTTCTTCAGTTTATTTGTGCAAATGAACACATATCAAGCTTGAAGATTTAAAAGTATAAATGCAAATAATTTTCAATGCACATAAGTCAGTGGTGGAATAAATCACAACATTTGACAAAGTGATAATACATCTGTATCCCAAACATGAACATTTTTTCCAGTGTCCAACAATTTAAGGATCCATTTAGAATTTATTCTGAAAGAATTGGGTTTCTAGAGTTAGTACATTTTAAAATAATGTTGTGAGTTTACTTTAATTGTTGTTTATCACATTATCTGTGAATGAAATAATACGTTACGATTAGGAAGATAAAATATTAGCAGATGGAGTTATAAAGCATTTATAAAGGCACTATACCTGATTGGTATAAATTTCTAAGTTGCAAAGTATTCTGAAGTCTTTCTAAATGAAAAATTAATATGAAAGGTTATTCAGTTCATTTTGTCTTAATGTGGAATGAGCAAAGTTATTTCACAGGAATACATTTGAAATTGAGACTATATTTAGACATAATGCTTCTTGACTATTTTATATATTGAGGATCATAGGACAACTTGCTAAATTAAATTTTAATATGAAAGTTAAATAGGTTAATCTCTAAGGCCAAACTTCACAAAGATATTACAATTAATAGTTAGTAATTATTCTAAAGTATTGTTACTTTAAGCATTACTGTTTTGAATTTTTGGTAGCAACTTGCGTAGAAGTGATGGTTATTCATCATTCTGAAGCAATCTCTATGTAAATAAATATACATTTGTGCTTACAGCTATATAACTAAGTTGAAATATCTGTAGACGGGGCATTTCAGCATTATGTTATATTGCTACTTCTATAGTCTGGCTATATTGTTATGCCCTTGTAAAAATATGGGGCATATGATGATGATGGTGATGATTTCCTCCAGATTCTACTCTAGATGAAATTCAGACTGTTCATATATGTTTAACTTGCAGAATTCAAGACTAGCTGTTTTTAAACAAATTAACCTTTTTATGAATATAATTGATTTTTATACTGCATTACTTATCTTTAAAGGAAATGAATATATTGGGTACTCAGAACATACCCAACAGAGAAAACAGAACACTATTGTTGCTTAGATGTTTTTAACTTAGGGAGGTTTTACAGTTTATCATTTAGATTTGGTATCATAAAATAAAGTGTCTGCATGCTGCTGTAGAGACTTGCATACTCTTCAACTAGTTAGCAGATACTGCTGGGTCCTAGGATTAGGTTCAGTTTAATTAACTGTCCTGTGTGATATGTGCTATTGTTTCCCTTATACTTTCAGAAAGCCTTAGCTTCACTTTTCATTTTGACATGCTTTTAAAAGCCATATCTCTATAATATTGTGATTATGGCTAATTAGAACTGCAACAGATATGCTAGCATAGTCTGCTGGAATAGCCAGAATTTTTACATGCAGGATTCAAATCAGGATTTAAATGCAGTGGAGATGCTTATTTAACCTGCTGTAATAAGACTTCTGGAAGAGCTTTGTTTGAAAACACTGCTGTTCACATTCTAAAGTTCGTAGTCATAAAGGTTTCCAATTTAATACTGTTGCAGCAGAATGGTGGTAATGAAACACAGGTGATGCACCTTCCTTTAATGTTAAAAATAATTGGGGTTTACGCAGTAAAGCTCTTCAAGCTCCTGTAGAGCGGCTGGTTCTTTAGCCTGGTTTACGCTTTCTCAGGTTTCTATTGGGGAGTCATTTTTTTCATACACAGCGCACTGACATTCCTTTCTTGAGGCCAGAATTGGCAATATTCCATTTAATCAGTTGATATAGGGGCAATATAAAAACAGCCATTTATTTATCAGCACGTGCTATTTAGGTTTCTTGCTAAATACAAGTTTATCCAAAGCTTTCTTTTTCTTATGGAAGGTGTTAAACTGAACCTTCATTGTTACTTAACTGCCTATTATCTTAAATTCTAACTGTGTGTATTGTATGACTATGTCAACCGCTTACTTCAAGTACTTCCATATAATGGAGCCTCCCAAATCATTGCATTTTCTCAAAGCATTTTTCCAGTCAACGTAACATTCCTGTTTTTAAAGTTTGAAAATTGCATTTTATTTTCCTGAATAGATTTTGGTGCTGTATCTTCTTAGCTTCTTACAACTATGGAAATGTCAGTACAACCTTATTATAACAGGGTGATTTAGATCAATTAGTATTCAGCTGGTGCATCTGACTCATGCAGTACATCTATCTTTAGTTTTAAAACACATAATGGTGACAAAGTTCACTTTATATTGATTCGGAGAAATTTAGTTCAATTATCTTGACATTAATTGCATTTCTTACCCCCCTCATGCGGCTCACTTTTTTAAAACCTTGATTGTATTATTATTTTTAATTCAAGGTAATACAAATACTATTGTCTATATTGGGGTAAGGATCAGTAATATTGTTGATAGTGCAAATTAAAGCAAAGGCATAAACGATTGTCTTGTTAGACATTAGCTTTAAATTTTATGCCAGTTTTGATTATTCATTTTGATCTTGCAAAGAAGCAATATTGAGTTTTCTTAGTAAGAAGTGAATAATATCAAAATAATGTTAGGAGTAAATATGCTTGTGATTTTAAAAAAAGGTAAATGTTATTAATCATATAGTACCAACATCACATTAAGTAAATTATAATTATATAGCTTCAAGTTTGTGCTCAGCAAAACTTCTGGGTGCCTCATATAACTAAATAAAAATTGTCATTACAAAATGATAGAGAGATACATGCAAGGATATAAAAACAGTTTAATCCTAGATTTTTACTTGAGTCATTTTAAGAAATTGCTTTTTTTTTGTATG